AGTGGGACTTGCAGGGGCTTGACTTTAACCATATTATTCTCAATGTCTGTTTGGTTTCTGGAAGGATATCCTCAAGTTTCTGAGAAGGGAAATAAACCAAGCAGATTGCGTTCAGAGACTCACAGTGTGCAACATTTGTTACCTATGTAGCATGGTAATATGGCAGGGAGGGGGAACCTACAACTCCCATTATTCCTGGCCATTGACTATGCTTGCTCAGGCTGATGTCATTAACATCTGGGGGGGTCAAATATCCCCCACACTTGCACTACAGCACGGGTATCCCTGTGAGAACTGTTGGACTAGATGGGGCATTCGCCTCATCCAGCAGGCTCGTCGCGTGTTTTTATATTTGGTCTGATCTAGCCAGGCAGCTTATTATTTTATGATATTCCAGTGGAATGTGCCTTTTATGCCCATAAAAATGTACTGCGTAGCTACATGACTCACCTACCTGAGGTTAATATTTCTGCTAGACCTACCTCTCTCTCTTTTGGTAGATGAACATAATGAGATGTACTCTTGAGAATCCATGCCATCAGAATAACATGCAATTTGAGGCTGATTAGAAATCCAGCAAGCAAACTGTGGACTACACCTGGAATCTGGATCATTTAAAGTTATCCTTATAAAGAACAGTGAATGCTGGCATGGAGGCGCAAGCTTCTGAAGCCATTACTTTGCACTCTGTGACTAGAATTTGGGGTCCTTTACATTTGGCTTATTATATGAGTCAGAAGGGGGAGTTCTCTGATCTAAGGATAAAAGCATAACTGGGTGAGGAGAAAAGGCAGAATGTCATCCCACCTACAACAGAAGAGCCTTTATGGATATTTGATACGCTAATAGTCCACTATTCTCTTGATAGCATGAAAAGAGGGATAGTTTCCTTTTGAGGCACAGGTGGAATTTCACCCTCTGCCTGACTCACCAAGAGACCTTAAGGAGTTCACTTTATCTCCTATTTCTCCATAGGAAAAAAACTGGGAGAATCATCCATCTTGACATTATGGAGAGGTTTGGTGATGACTGATTAAAACAATCCTGGTGAGATGTGTTGGCAGCAGTCAAGGGCAGTTTGTTCATACCCATAATAATAATGCAGAACCTGGAGAAAGGTATATTTATTCAGGGGTAACTGCTTTTGATTCAAAGGATGCTAGCTCTTGAACAGTCAGAGGGGGCAGATCTCAAAATAGTTTAGAGAGCAGAGTGTACACAGTGGCAAAGAATTGTAGAGTTAGAATGGACCTCAAGGGTCAACTAGTCCAACCCCTGCAATGTAGGAAACAAAACTAAAGCATCCATGACAGACGGCCATTCTACCTCTGCTTTAAAACCTCCAGTGAAGGAGCGTCCACCACATCCCAAGGGAGACCATTCCACTGTTCCAGCTCTTACTGTCAGAATGGTCTTCCTAATGCTTAGCCAGCATCTCCTTTCTTATAACTTGAATCCATTAGTTCAGGTCCTACCCTCCAGAGCAGGAGGAAACAAGCTAGGTCCATCTTCCATGTGACAGCCCTTTATATACAGTGGTACCTCAGGTTACATACGCTTCAGGTTACAGACTCCGCTAACCCGGAAGTAGTACCTCGGATTAAGAACTTTACCTCAGGATGAGAACAGAAATCGTGCGGGTGCGGCAGGAGGCCCCATTAGCTAAAGTGGTACCTCAGGTTAAGAACAGTTTCAGGTTAAGAACACACCTCCGAAACAAATTAAGTTCTTAACCTGAGGTACCACTGTACTGGAAAGTCCACTCACCCTTTCAGTGCAGTGGTGTTGCGGGACAGCAGAGGCTCCCCCAAGGCCCCAATGAGGGAATCGCGGCATTGGTGCCCCATCCAGATATGGGGTGGGGTATAAACCCGCACCACCTATCAGAAGCCAGATCCTAGCCTGCATCCCGGATCGGTGAATGGAGATGCAGGCTAGGACACGGGCTGGCGGGGCACAGCCGATAGAGCAGAAAGGCTTCCCTCGGGTCCACTCCCTGGTCATTTAAACAACCCTCACTAGGGTCCCACCTGCGTTTCCCTCGTCTGATTCCCCACCCAGTCTCCCTTGGTTCAAGCTGATGGTTAAGGACTTCACTGTGGCTACAGTGGTCGCCGTTTTATGGAGCCGGGTAGGAATTTGTCCACCAGGCCAATTGGCTACAACCCAGTGGTTTTGCCTAATTCATAGCAATTGTCGCAAGTGGGTTGGGCATCAGGGCAATCCTTTGTCTTGGATGGAGGGGAGGTTGTAGTCTCTGCCTGCCCCTCCAAATGCTGGGATATCCCATTAAAGGAATCTGGGGGGGAGTGGTCATGTCCATGTGCCCAGGTGGGGCCAGGGCCAAGAGTGCTCCCCCAGATGGCGGTTCCTGCAGGGGTCACCCTATTTGATGTAAGTCTTAGGAAACCCCCTGCCCCTGCCTGGATTGACCTATGTACCACTTCTGGTGGGTGGGCCGGAAGTATTTGATTGCCCCATGCCCAAGCCAAACCTCTTTCATCTGTATTCAGTGGCCTGTTTCGATCCAAACCAGTCTTTGTGGTCCTTTATTTGTCTGCGGGTTGGGGACTGGGGAGCACAATGCCTAGACCTACAAGTGGCTCTCATATTTCTTCTCAGTCTCCTCTTATCCCGGCTAAACGAATTCAACTCTTTCCAATCTATTATGGTCATCTTGAATACTGATTCTATCTGCTGCAGTATTAGCTACCTCTCCCAGTCTGGTGTCACCCGCAAATTTGATTAGAATCTCCTCAATGCCTTCATCTAAGTCATTTATAAAGATGTTGAAAAACAGCAGACCCAGGACGTAACCCTTTTGGTACCCCAAATGTCAACTTTTTTAAGGATGATGAGGAAGCATTAGTAAGCACTCTTTGGGTTGGGTAAATCAACCAGAAAGGATTACAGAAAATGCCCCCATTTCTACTAGAGTTGTGTGCAAAAGGCCTCTAACATTTTCCAACTATTTGCAGGCAGAGAAGTTGGGGTGCGGCCAGTTCAGCACATTGTATTCAGAGGGAAAATAAATTATTCAACATTTTCTCAGGGGTAGGGCTCAGTAGCAATAGTCCAGCTTCTTCTTTTTCTCAAGGCTTCCCCCCACGTTTTGCTGCTGCAAGTGGCAAAAACAGTGTTTGCAACCTGGCCACCATTTTGTATCCTCCACAACACCCAGGAACTCTAGCATCATTTTTGGACATTGGAAGTTGTCACCACACAAAAAAATGGTGGAGAACATTTCTAAAAAAATTCTTCCTAGTGGACTTTTTCTAAGGGGTTGACGGGTGGGGGGGACAACGCTCAGAAGTTTTCTCTGTGGAGGAAATGTTTTCCCAGCAATTCTGGATCAGCTTTAATCTCTACTTCAAACGAAAGGTGGCTCTGAATGAAGAAAGAGGGAACTGACGCTATAGAAGTATTGGGGGGGCGGCAGGAGTTCCAGGCCCAAGGGGCAACAAAAGAGAAGGTGACTCAGCTAGAGAAGTCAAAGCACATGCAACAGAGAATCACAAAGGAAGTTTTAAGGAAACACTTAGGTGAGTCACTTCAGGAAAATTGGAAGGCCAAATTAGTAAACATTCAAAAAAGATATGTGGGCCAAACACAAAGTGAACTTTAAAGATCAAACTGCAGCAAACAGCAATCTTCACAAGAGTAACAGCACACCCATTGCCCAAGGCAATGCCCTCATACATTGCACAAGTAAATTATTCATTCGATCAATAGCCTTCCCTCCCCACTGCCAAGTAATTTCACTGTTCAAAGGCTCTTCGTGTCTATTAATGAACTTCTTTAACTTGACTCTTTCCATCTCCCACTTTGGTGAACCAATCATACTAACCGGCAAAAGTAACCAGCAAAGGTTTAACCGTCCAGAAAGGAAGGAACATCCTTGAGGGCACTGAGCGAAGATTCAGGCAAGTTCATGTATTCATTTTCAGCATTTTGCCAAAATACTGTTGCCATTTCTTTACCGTACAGCTTGATCCTCCATGTATCAGCAGTGACCTAATGGTCAGCCAGATCTGATCCAAAAGCAATTCATCTGGCCCCTGGACACCCTACCAAATCAATTAAAGTGTGGTAAAATATCCATATTTTTCACATAAGGAAAAGAAATGTATTTTGCTCCATTGCATCAACACTCAGCCCTTCCTTCCAGTTCATCCCACCCCCAACCCAAGGAACAAAAAAACCCGTTGCCTTTCAGAAGCTGTAGGGAAAGGTTCAATAGATACAGTATTAGACATATTAGACTTTCTTTCTTTCTTTCTTTCTTTCTTTCTTTCTTTCTTTCTTTCTTGGTTTTCAACAGCCGTTTATTCCAAGCATTCTCCAACATCCAGGCCAGGCCTGTGCTTGCAACTCCCCACATTAACATATCACGTTCACCTACATGGAATTTTGGTGGCTGCACTTTTGCCTTGAAATGACGAGTAGTACCGTAATAACAGATTTTACAGTAAGCTCACATTTTCAAGTTATTGAAGTGCTGTTGCCATGATGAGGGTGAAAAGAGTCATAGGAAGATGGAGTTCCATAGGAGTGCAGAGGACAATACAGTAGTCCTGCCAGTGAGTTTGCACCATGCCCACCTCTTCACCACTTTCCCGCTCTCCCTCCCCATAAGCAACAGTGACCCACCTGCCGGGAAGCCAGCAAAGCAGCTCCATGCTACCCAGGGAGCCACTCTTCAATACGATATCTCTAAGGCTACTGCCTCTTCCAAGGGCTTTTCACTCGAACATTTTGATGAGTGCAGCAAATGCACAAATGTCTTCAGAGCAAGAAATAATCAGGGAAGCTTTCAGATGAGCCAGTTAATTTAAATGTTTGGAAAGCATGCTGATTTTTTTTTTTTAAAGCTTTTTTTCCTTTAAAAAAATGCACACAGATTTGGGACAGGATCGGGACTGTTTCACCCATCCCTGGTTCAGAACAAATATAAAAAGCAGGGTAAGGGGTGTGATTGACCCATTAACATTGACCTATAGAAGCTATACTTGCAAGGTTTAAAGAAGAAGAAGAAGAAGAAGAAGAAGAAGAAGAAGAAGAAGAAGAAGAAGAAGAAGAAGAAGCTAATTCAAAATGTATTTCCCAGAATTACAGACTTACAGACGTTTGTCAGGAAACTGCTCCTGGCAACTGTGAAAAGTACAGAAACATCCCAAAAGCTTATGCACAGCTTAAGTCATGGAAGAATTCCAAAGGCATTTCAGGATGACGGGTTGTTAAAATGTGTGTCCCCAGGGTACATCAAGCCGGATTCCACAAACAGAAAAGTGACTGGAAAGTTGGATGAAGGTAAACAATTTTATAAAAGCAGATGTTTTGTCATTTTTATTCTTCTCTGCGACAGCCTTCTGAAAACGGAGCTCGGTCACTAGGTGCTGGGGAATGCAGAAGTAGCAAATTGCGTTTCAGGCTCCCGAGCGAGTGCCTTCTCTGGGATCACTGTTATTTTATCTGATTCAAAAATGAATAAACACAATTATGTATAAGAAAAAGCTTAGCTGCTGGGCTAAGTTTAAGATGCTGCCACTGGTATGCAAAGCCCTCTAAAGCTCAGGACCAGGAGACCTAAAAGATTGCCTCACCTCTCATACACCTGAGAGCCAGTGTGGTGTAGTGGTTAAGAGCAGTAGTCTCGTAATCTGGGGAACCAGGTTCGTGTCTCCGCTCCTCCACATGCAGCTGCTGGGTGACCTTGGGCCAGTCATACTTCTCTGAAGTCTCTCAGCACCACTCACCTCACAGAGTGTTTGTTGTGGGGGAGGAAGGGAAAGGAGAATGTTAGCCGCTTTGAGACTCCTTAAAAGGGAGTGAAAGGCGGGATATCAAATCCAAATCTAAACCTAATCAATCACCGTGCTCTGCAGGAGAGGACCTTCTGCCGATACCACCTCACCAGAAGATCTCATTCAGTATGATCATAGTTGGAAGGGATACTGAGAGTTACCTAGTCCAACCCCTGCAATCATAAGAATCACAACTAAAACAATCATGACCGATGGCCATTCAACCTCTGCTTTAAAACCTTCAGTGTCGATATCCTTTTAAAACTGTGGCACCCGGAACTGGACACAGTACTCTAGGAGTGGTCTGACCAAAGCAGAATAGAATGGTTCTATTACTTCCCTTGATCTGGACACTATACTTCAGCTGATACAGCCTAGAATATAATTGCTTATCTCCTTTGCTCCGGGCCGCATAACTCCATACTCCCCAACATTTCTCTGATGAAAAAAGGGACGTCCTAAGGAAAAGTGGGACATTCTGGAATCAAAACAGAAACCAGGACAGCTTTTGTAAATCTGGGACTGTCCCTGAAAAACAGAGACACTTGGACAGTCTGCAGAATAAGCTTAGAATAAAATCAGTTTAGTTTGCAGAATAGCTCCAGTCTGCAGAATAGTTCCAGTTAAATCTACAAAAGTTAACGTAGCATCTGATCAGCACTAATTTTGTGACTAAAAACTTTTTATATTCTGAAATGAGCCTTTCATCGGTGGGCGGATAGGGATTTAATGCACTCTCACAACACACAGTGTGACTCTTCAACGCCCATTGTGTGGCATTTGGGAGACTGGGAAGGGATAATGGGCAGGATTCATTCTTACAGACTTGTTTTGATAAAGCCGTTGATCAGGCCTCATCTCATGAATGCAACACTAATATCTCCCTTTTGTTTAGCTTTCTCCCAATTGCTGCATGGCAGAGGTTGGAAAATGAAGAGAAGAACAGTTAATTGTTTTAGTCATTGTAAATGTTAGTCAGAAACGTTTTGCTTACATTTATTCTCAGAGTAAACAAGGCATTAGGCAGGGACTCAGTTTGGGGGCACACAGCTGGAGTGGCTCAATACAAAGGACACTGGTACATCATCCCTCTCCTTCTTCTCCCCTCCAAATCCCACCCTACCCTGCCACTTTCAGGGTATTAACTTGGTAGTGTAACCACTTCCGCATCACCAAAAAAAGAGGAAATGTATCTCCAGAAAAAGAGGACAACAGAAGATGCAGTCTCTACAGCCACAGCAGGTGCTGCAAACTTCCAACAGTTTGACTTCACCTCCAAAGGTGTACTCCTGCATTGTCTTCCAAGGTTGACAAATGGCAACAACAAAATTTATTGTTTGTAATCCACTTTGAGATAATCTGGATGAAAAGTGGCATAGAAATACAACCAATCAATCAATTAATTACAGGAGGAGATTTCAAAGTACCTTATTTGTCCGTGTATAAGACTAGGTGTTTTTCCTTGAAAATAATGTCAAAAATTAGGGGGCATCTTATACACGGGACTATCTCCCCCCATTTTCTTAAATCTGAGTCTCCAAAAATAGGGGGCATCTTATACATGGGGGCGTCTTATAGATGGAAAAATGCAGCATATGCATGTACTCCAGTTTTCAGCCTGTCAGTCCTAATTGTGTGAACTGTATATTCCACAACCTTCATGTGGATGTCTTGATATCCTTAAGGCTTGATGAACAACTAGACCATATTGTGTGTTCCGTTGCACTTAAGACAAGGGAAACGGGAAAATAAAGTTTTCGTAGGAGAACCTGACAGGTAGCAATTTCTGGCCACAAATCAGCCTGGCATAAAGCGTACCCTTTCTTGTTATGCTGTCTATCGAGTGGAAGAGGAGCTAACATTCCACACAGGACAATGTTTTTGACAACCCTGTGGATATATTTTACTATTAAAGGATTAGAGCAGGAGATGGTTTTCCCATAGGACAACCTGTCATATATTAATTTCTAGCTAACCATCAGTCTGCCAATGAGTTACATTTCTGTTCATGGGCTGATACACTATTTCATGGTCTTGAACATCAGTATTACTTGCCTGAAATTTAGCTTGGTCTGGGCCTACTCCCATTTAGTTTATGAGCCCATCCAGATTTTCAACTTTGTATGAGATCATGCTCTGGGTGCCATTCACATCTATGGTTTTGTACACACCAGAGCATTAATGCACACCTGAGTCACACAGGTTCTTTTTCTTCCTGTGTGCTTTTGTGCACGTTCCTCTACACACAGGTGCTTTTGTTTCAACTCTGTCTCAAAGCTTCCCATCCACACCAGTGGGCACTGCTTGGGGGAATGCATTCATGGTGTCATCTCCTCAATTAGCACTTCTCCACTGGGAAACCTGAGGTCCATTGTGGAGATGCATGCAGGTAAAAGGTAAAGGTCAAGGACCCCTGGACAGTTATGTCCAGTCAAAGGTGACCATGGGGTTGCGGTGCTCATCTCGCCTTCAGGCTGAAGGAGCTGGCGTTTGTCCACAGACAGATTTTCAGGTCATGTGGCCAGCATGACTAAACTACTTCTGGTGCAACAGAACACCGTGACAGAAACCAGAGCGCATGGAAATGCCATTTACCTTCCCACCACAGCTGTACCTATTTATCTACTTGCACTGGCGTGCTTTTGAACTGCTAAGTTGGCAGGAGCTGGGACAGAGCAAGGGAGCTCACCCTGTTGTGGGGATTTGAACTGCTGACCTTCTGATTGGCAAGCCCAAGAGGCTCAGTGGTTTAGACCATATCGCCACCTGTGTTCCACATGAAAGCAGGTATATGTTTAGCTTCGCAGGCAGCCAATTTTTCATTTTTACTTTTTGAGATAAAAGTGTTCTGATATGCCAGACCTGTACAAAACAGCAAGTTAAACAAAAATGAAATAAAGTGTGTGTGTCACACCAGACCACATCAGCGACCCACTGAACACTGCCTTATTAACAGAAGTAGGGGTGAGTGTTGATAGATGGCAGTCAATAGAACATCACCACACAAACATGTGAAAAAGCTTTCCCACACAATGCACTTCAGTATTTTCACAGTCGGGTAACATGCCATTTTATGTTGGGTTTTTCCTTGTCACATTATCCTCAGATCGGGAGAATTTGCGTTAAATGGGATGGCACTTGGATGATGACTCCACAAGCTACAGGGTGTCCCAGCTGACAAAGTAAGTTTGTGTGTGTGTGATTTTTATTAAATTTTACAGTTTATACATCCTTAAGATATCAATGACTTCCCTTCTTCTCTTTCCATGGTTCATTTTACATATCATAAATCCCTGCATATTTTACAGAAACTATACCATTCAGTATTCCATTATTACATCCATCGTAACTTATTTACACTGTTGAATTTATCTTAATGCTGCCAGCGTTTTCAGCTGTACAGTTATTTCCCATATAGTCAATAAATGTTTTCCAATCTTCTCTAAACACATGTTCTTCTTCTTCTCTTATTCTATATGATAAATCTGCAAGCTGTGCATATTTTGTCAACTTAAGTTGCCACTCTTCTTTAGTTGGGACCTCGCTCGTTTTCCATTTTTGGGCTAACAAAACATGGACCACAGTAGTGACATACATAAATAATCTTTTTTGACACCTGGGAATTTCAGTCTGAATTGTCCCCAACAGAAAGGACTCTGGTGTGTGTGGGTTTTTTTTGGGGGGGAGTACTTTTAAACATTTTTTTCAATTCGTTATGGATCATTTCCCAATATTCTTTTACCCTTTTACAAGTCCACCATGTTAAGTTGTGGGCGAACATATCAGACGACACAGCGATTCTTCAAACAGCTCTTCTTTATTTTGAGGCCAGAACTGAACTGAGCTGAAGGGCTCAGTCAGCCTGCTTATATAGAGCTCCAGTACCTTGTTACTGTAACAACTTTCTAAAACTATCCAATCACTGAATGTCACTTTCGATCCTTCATTTGCATACAAACTATCCAATCACTGAACGTCACTTTAGATCCTTCATTTGCATAACTATCTACAGTATCCCCCTGCTGGCCCAGGGTGAAAACACACCACATATGAAAAAAAAATGCTCCCTCAACCTCTTTGCATCTCCAGCACTTATCTGATTCAGTGTTATACATCTTAGCAAGCCTACTCAGAGTTAAATACCATCTGTAAATCATTTTCAAGTAGTTCTCCTTCAAAGAATAACATGCTGTGAACTTCAAAGTATCTGACAAAGTGTCTTTGGCCTCAGCAACAAAACATGCACACATGGGATGCATCTAGGGCTCTCTTTTTCCCCAGCCGGAGCTCATTGGAACTCAACTCTCGTATCTCTTAGGTGGGTGACATTGCCATTCTAACAGAAGAAGGGAGAAGCTCGTGGTGAGCTTTGGCACCTCTTTTTCTAGAAAAATACCACCGGGTGCCTCCAATCCACTTGAAACTG